CTAAGCAACGTACGCGAGCTTAAAGCCTAATTAACGCTAATACGTGATCGGGTCTAGCGGCATAAGAGCTCGTCACTAGCGTCAATTATTGTGGCGATTAGCCAGCTTAAGAAGGGGGCAGAGAGAATAATGCTCTTAGCTAAGCTAATGCGTGATCGGATCGCCAGCCTTGAGAGGGCTAATGAGGTAGCAACAAAGCGTAGGTAGCGTAAAAGGAAGTGGATATAGAAGCATGGAGTGCTAACAAAGGGAGCTAGAGAGGATCTACTTGCTTAGCGTGAGGCTGATTAGCAGATTGCTCATGAAGAGCGTCAGGGAGGAGAGCGATCAGGTGTCAGCCGCCAGGCTTTGGCGCGCTGCAGTAGGTGTAGAGAAACTGGCCACAACTCGCGTACGTGCAAGAAAGATACTCTAGGTACTGCTTAATCTATTATATTAATATACAGTAAAGCAACTATATTGTGGTGGAACTACAGGCTTATAGAGGTGCGCAGGTTTGGTGGGGTGCGGCGCTCGCTTGTACGCGGCGCTCGCTTGTAAAACACGTTAGTTGTAGTTGAGCATAAGTTTAAGTAGAGACACTAACAAGACACCATGATGACACACGCACATGTATACATACGGATGCGACACTGGCTTGGTAGGCTCGTATCCGGGTATTTTTGAGTACTACTATATGAACTGCATTATCGTTGTTCATAATTTCTTCACACCCGAGCGGGCATGAGCCATGCGTGTGCAAAGCAAGAGATAGGCGAGAGACGAGGAAAGAAAAGAAAAGAAAAGAAAAGAAAAGAAACATGTGATAGGCAAACAGGAAATTTGTCCTCCTGGAACTAACATGGTACATATGTACGTACATGTACAACAATGTTGGGAAAAAGACGTGTGGGATAGATGGAGGTGGTTGTTGTTGTTGTTGTTGTTGTTGTTGTACTTGACAAAACATGATACCGTATTTGCAATGTTGACACCAAGAAGCGAGCCATGAACAGCGCCCCCCAAAAAAAAACAAGAGAACAAAGGGGACCACGAGGAAGAAGAGTGAGACGGGTAAAGGCAATTTTTTGGTTTACGATATCTATTCCCTGAATTCCACGAGGTTCCATCTCTCATCTCATCCGTTTGAGCTTCCCAAGAGGAAAAAAAAGATGTACTGCAATTTCAAAGTGCCCAGTCAAAAACACAGTCATGTGAGAGTGAGAGAGAGAGAGAGGAGAGGAAGACAAAAAGCCAGCATGGGTTTCCTTGGACTCGTTGTTCCACCAGAAACGCCGCTGAGACTTGTTATAAGGGGGGTAAACCATAGTTACACCGACACACATAGAGAGACAGAAAGCGAGAATAGCAAGAAAAAAGTGTGAACAAAGTCCATGGGGTAGATGTGTCAGACTCGCACGAAGTAATCACCCAGAGAACTGCGCTGCAGTCCACAATACTTGTCATGACCACGATGATGTAGACGCAAACACCCCTTTTCAGTTTCCATTTCTCCCCTTGTTTTGCTTTCTTTCTTTTCCAACTCACGTAGAGAACATGTGGTGTGCGTTTGTTCAAGACCCACAGCCGAGACTTTACCAAGTAGTGACTCTGGCCGAGGAAGACATGGGCTCTGCAAAGTTCACATGTGTACATTAGTCAGATGCGGGGGAAAAAAAAAGTGGAAAAAAATAAGGGAAGAGCAAGGAAGGCTAGTAGCGTGCTACTTGAGATTCACTCAACGCACTTCGCTTCATTGGTGGAGGAGGTGGCGGAGGCTTCTTTGACCTTGACGGAGGTGGTGGCGGAGGCGCCTTCTTTCCGTTGCCTTGCTCGGCCGTCGTCCAGCTTGCTGCTCGGGACACGACACTGCCCCGTGCGCTGCCTATAGATTCGTCGGCGCTGGGGGGCGATCTGTCACGGCGATGGCTATTGTTTCCATTGGACTGGGCATAATCATCGTCATAGTCGTCGGCAAAGGCATTCTGGGATCCACTGGTTTGGCGGACAGGGCGCAGATTGCTGCGACCCGAAGATATGACCGAGGATCCCGTAGGGGCCCGAGACAAGCGACGAGCGGGAGACTCGTCGCGGAGGCTGTTGGAATCGTCGTAGGTCGAGGTGCGACTGACAGAGGGGCGCAGACCATAATTGTTGGGAGAGCTGCTGGGGCCCGGCGAGCGACTGCGCTGCTTGGTCAGTTTGGGAATAGTCATGCGCGGAACCTCGGGCTCGGGCTCTTCTTCGACCGGGTTGAATCGCTCGGCGTAACCGTGGGCGGTATTGGATCGGGAGCGCGAGGGACGGGAGGGATTCAATCTGGCGGTGTCCCTGTGTGGTACGTCAGCTTTTGTGATTAGGCCATGTGCTGATGAGAATTTGCTTACTGAACAGGCCACTCTCGCTTGACATTGAGTAAGATCTCACGACAGCGGTCGTAGTAGCTCAACTCTGCCTCGAGGAAGGCCGTGAGGTCTTGGACCATGTCGACCTCTGCTTCCTTGATGTCCTGCATTCTCCGGAAGACCTCTTCGCTGGTCTCTTCGTACTTTGCCTTTTGGGCGCGGAGCTCCTCCTCCATGCGGAAGTCTTCCTTCTTGGTCTTTTGCATCTTTGCGAGTGACGTGTCATAGGCCAGGCGACGTGTCTCGAGCTTCTTGCGGGCAGCCTGGAAGGCGTTAGCTTTGGTGGTGGCCGTGGGCGGGAGCCGAATGCTGGCGTACCTGGTACTCCTTCATTTGGACCAGAGAGCGCTCGAGGCCCTCGAGCCATGTCGAGGTTGCACTCTGTATGTACGTCTCTTGTACTCTTGCCAGGCGCTCGTTTGCTCGACCGAGGGCTGCTTGTAATTAGCATGGTGCCGAATGGTGCGACGCGGGCGAGGGCGTACAGGAGAGGCAGGTGCCGTATTCCGAGTCGGGCTCAAAGTCCTCGCCGTGCGTCACCATGGAGGAGCCCAGGTGGCCGCCTGGAAGCTGCTTCTCCTTGTCGGCGCCTTCTGCACGCTTCGAGAGCGACTTGACGTAGACGCTCATGGTGCTGTGCATCTTCTCCATGCCTGGGCATAGCAGTTAGCCGGGGGCACGGGGTGGAAAGGGGCGGCAGGCGGAGGGTACCTTCATGGCGCAGGTTCATCTCCATCTCGAGGGCCTTGAACTCTTCGGACAGGCCCGTCCGGGCCTCGGCACCCATTTTTTCGTTTGTCCATTGCTTGAAGCGGTCGAATTTCTTGTTGATGTTCATGGTGGCGGCGGGGGGCGTGTGGAAGCGGCCGGCGGGGGCAGATTGGGTGGTGTATCAGAGAAGGAGGAGGAGGAGAGGGAAATGGGTAGGATGACGAGGTGGGGAGGCGGTGATAGCAGCAGGCGCTGGGCCGTGTCTATGGGCAGGGGTCCGGATTGCGCGTGCACGCCAGCAGGAACCAGGATGGCGGCGGCGATCAGTCTCGAGCGAAACCCAAGCGCCAGCGACCGAGAGACACGACGAGCGGGCGAGGGGTTTCAGCACTGGAGGGCGGCGTGCGCGGCCGAGGTAGAGCGCGAGGTAGAGCGGGAGAGGAAGAGGAAGAGGAGGAGGGAGAGGTGTGGAGAGGGGGGAAGGGAGAGGGGAAAGGGAGAGGCGAGGAAAGTGAGGCGAGAAAAGAGAGAGACCGCAACGCGTGTCAATATATTACCATCACCAGGCACGGACACGGGCGGCAATGCAGAGGGAGGCTGGCTGTCTGGATTATTCTGTTCTCCATGTATACGTATCGGCATTGCGGCCAACGGTGCTTGTGGCCACTGCGGGGGCGACCAGCCGCCGTGGCGGGCCCCGAGCTTACTCTCTGCTGCTACTCTGCCAGTTCTAGACATGTCAATCCTCGGTTTCACCCGTCCTGCCCTCGCCCATGCCGTCGCTCTATCTTTGGCCCTCTGCTGCTGCGCCGTGTCTCAGCCCGCTTGTGCGTGCTGCGTGAGTTTCACTTTGGTCGCTCGGCCTGCTGCCAGTCGTCTTCTTGCGCCGCCGCCGCCGCCGCCACCATCGCCACAACCACGACGACGACGACGACGACGACCAGAGGGAGAGGGCATGCTCGTCGTCTCGCCAGCTGCGTCAGCCAGTGCCCAGCGTCCTTTGTTCTGCCAGAGACGCTCCGAGCAAATCGCCGCCGCCACTACCAGCACCAGCACCAGCACCAGCACCAACACCAGCACCAACACCGCCACGACCCGTCGCCGCTGGCCGTCGTGCCCTCCCTATGCCATGCACATGTATCGACCGTGTATCTACTACCAAGCGCTTGGGGTAGCGCCCAAGAAAGCCAGCCTTGGGCGCCCTAGAGCGCCCTACGCCTAGTGCGCCGTCCAGACTGTCCAACAAGCTTCCATGATGCAGCCCCGTCGTTGTCTCCTGCCTATCTCGAGCCACATGTCCTTTGCCGCAGCCCGCTGTCTATCTATCCAATCCGTCCGTCTCTGTCACTGTCACGTCTCCTGTCTAGGTGTACACTGTCCGTGTCGCGAAGACGGCACAGTTCGCCTCCTTCCCGTGTCCGCTGCATCGCCGTCGACGTTGCACGCGGAAATTCTTGAACGAATGAAAAAAAAGAAGAAAAGAAGAAAAAAGAAACAAGCCTTCTACTACGTACATGGCTGACGGTACATAGTAGTAGTACACCTATAGCAGCCCCCAGCTCTGCTGGCACGGTTGGTGCACGTGACGTTGCAAGCGCCACCTCAAGTCGGCAACCTCAACCACGCATTTTTCATCCACGCAGCTCAACAATCCCCCCACAGCGCCCTCGCATGAACCCCGTCTGCCTGTGATCAAAGCGCGCCGACATGGCAGTGCTCGCCAGCGCATTTTCTCCTCGTCGCCTGTTCTGTCCGCATGCCGTCTTTTCGCTCTCGGTCCAGAAGCAACTTCACGCTGACTGCACAGGCTGTATACCACGTTGGCCAGTCAACAGAGCTGCAATCGCACGTGCAGAGGCGACAAGCAGAGTCCAGGGCGATGCGCTGCAACTCCAAGAGTGCCCAGGCCAATGGCACATCGACTACACGCACAAGGCACGTTTGCGCGCCCGCGCCCAAGACGAACCTGTTGATTACTCCCTGAGGGGCCATGCGAGCCCTCGCTTCCATCTCTTACCTCTCATCTCGCACCTCTTGGTTGCCTTGTCATGAAACCCAAAATTCATCAAAAGAGACGGAGCCCGGTGCGCGTGCGTCAGATGCTGCGTCCAACACCAAAATAGTCGAGCGGTATTTTGCGCTCCTGTTGCGGCTCCTGTGTGAGCCGCGCCCCAGTAGGCCCGTACAGTGGACGCGTTGGAGACTCCATACGGGCGCCCCCGCTACCGACGCGCGTAAGGACGGCAACCTCCACAGGGGCCGTGACGTCGCACACATTGCCCAGAGAGCAGTGAGGCTTCATGGCTCGCCCCATAGCCACCCTCGCACCTGGATCCATGGACATTCCGAGTAGCATCTGCCCTTTGCGTGGATGCCTCTGACGCGAGGCCAGTCTCATCACATGCCCATGGGATTGCGAGAGCCTGCAGAGACGCCCGTGGCCACTTGGCAAGCAGAGACATTGTGACGGGACAGCGCTGGAGGGATGCACGGCTAGGACATGGGCGGCGGCGACGGCAGGGCGAGTGCTGGCGAGTTGGCGTGCTGCAGCGGCAGTGGGAGCTGAGCATTGTTGGCCCTGCCCAAGGACATAGAGATAGCGCCAGAACCACGGGCTGCATTGCCCCCAAGAACACTACATAGGCCCATGATAATAATTTTGCAGCGGAAATGCTGCTGCCCAAAGAAGGCGCCCGCTACGTGTGCAGTCGCCGGGCCTGGTGCGGCCGGCGAAAAAAAGCCCAAGGTGCAGTTGGCCATTGTCCCGATGGATATAGCCACAGGGCCTGATGGAGCAGATCCTTTGTGCTAGCGGAGTGGCATTACCTCATGCGTCCCTAACCGTGTTGCATTCGCAGTTCCTCTCCTCATCCCGCAAGCGCAGCTGCAACCACCCACCACCACCCACCACACACGCACCGCCCGACGCCAGCAGCCATGGCCGACTCGGACTCTTCGCTGTCGTCTGCGCCCCCGACCGACGATGAAATGGACCTGGGCATTCCACAGGCGACGGCGCCAGAGCCCGCTGCCCAGAAAAAGAGGAAGAAGAAGAACGGCACCATCTTGACTTTTTTCAAACATCGCTCGCCTTCGCCGCCTCCCCGCAAGCGCGACCCCTCGCCGCCCCATGAGCCGGTCCCAGAGGACAATCCAGACATTGCTGTATGTATAGGACGCGTCCATCGCGTCCCGACGCGCCGTGTTGCGTCGCAATCGCGACCGACTTTTTCGTCGACCCCCCCCCCAGCTGATGCCAGGCGTCGCAGTTCATCGTCATGTTCCGGTCGCGCTTCAACGAAGCATTCCCGCGCGGCTCCCCCCATGTCGGCCCTCAGGATATCGAGTCAGGTGTCGCGGGCGACACGCCGTCGGCCGACGTCGAGGGCCTGCTGTGCGCCCTGCTTGGCCTTGTCCTCAATCGCAAGAAGCCTGTCGAGTGAGTCTAGCCCTTGTACCCTGTCCCAACCCATAATCCCCAGTCGCCCGCCCGTCCCACACACAACGACATGGCCCGCATGCTAACATGGCCCGCCCTCTGCAGAAAAGGCCACTACGGTCGGGCTCTCGAGGAAGCCATGCAAACCCAAAAGTCGCAATGGCCCGCCAAATGGACGACCAACCCACTCAGTGGCGGTCGCAGCTTCAATACAATGGCAGCTGAAGAGCGGGTGAGCCGTCTTCTCCCTTCACGGCCGCTGTATGCTGACCGGCGCTCCAGATAACTCTGCTCCACTCGCTGTGCCTGTGGAGCCTCAACCAAAACGAGCAAGTCAAGACCATGATCAACACGGCGTACAAGTCACGCACCACCAAAGACAGGCAAGACACAAACATTCCCTTGTCGGTGCAGGCTTGGGGTCGTGATGGCGACAAGCGTCGGTACTTCCTTGTCGAGGGACAAAACGACACCCATTTTCGTGTCTACCGCGAGACAGACCCCAAGTTGAAAAAGGTACAATGGGTCAGCGTCGCCGGCTCCATTGACGAGGTGCGCGCCCTCGCGAAGAAGCTGGAAGAGGTCGACGGTCACAAAGAAGCAAAAGCACTAGGCGAACGCATGCTCAACGCCATCCCGCGCTTTGAGGCTTCGGAGAACGTATGGTTATTGTCCTTTCTCTCTCTGCGTCCCAGGCTAACAATCGTATAGAAGCGGAAGCGACGCGAGTATACACGCCAGCGCAAAGATGCCTTTACACGCCCCGAACCCGGCTTCTCTCTGTACGAAGGCCGTACCCGTGGCAAGCGACAGCGATATACATTTGATGAAGAGGAAGACTTTGACTCGGACAACCTTTCCGTGCGTCGTTCTGGGAGACAATCAGGCCGCGACACTCCTGCAGCACCCTCTGGCCCAACTATCACCGCTAGCGGTCGGCAGGTACGGTCCCGGGCAACAGGCGCATATGGAGAGAAGCTGCACAGCGGACAGGTCGCAGACCACCCTTCACCCGCAACTGGCGACTACATACGATCAGACATATCAGAAGAACGACAGTCAGGCCATGGTGGTCGGGCGACACGCGCAGCCAACAGAGGTACCACAAACGGGCGTGTATTGAACCGCACGCTGGATTCAGAAGATGATGAGGACGCAACATCCTGGGACGGTGGAGACGACGAAGAGGATGAAGCTGACCAAATCGACTTGGACGATGACGACGACGATGGTGCCGCCGATGCTTCGTCTGAGGAAGACGAGGAGCCAAGCCTTATGGTCACCCTCCGCTATCGTAAACCCGGGTCCGACGCTCAAGAACCCGATACCGCAATGGCCGGCAATGAAGCTACAAACCCTTCTGACGCCCCAACGTCGCAACCAACACAGCAGCATGCCACGCATAATCACGAGCCAGTAGCATCCGTATCCCAACCCGAGGTATCCTCAACTCTGAACGGCCTTTCCACACCATTCCAACAGCTTCACGTCGCTCCTCCTGTCCCCGTCGCTTCTCAGCCACCTGCAGTGAATTCAGACTCCACGCCCAGACAAGACGGCTTCTTTTCTGCGCCGACGCCGCCATACAGCGCACCCGAGGAAGCGCCCAAGCCGCAGACAGCAGCTGACCAAGCTCCTCGCATCAACATTGAGGTGTCTTCAGCGCAATAAGCAGCGCCTATCTATTTATCTGTTTCCCTTGGCCGCCCGCGGTTTTTGACTCAACGACTTGCTTTTTTACGGCATAACTACCACCAGTCCCTTGCTATTAAGTGTGAGCAACAATGACTATACCCAAGTTTTTTTTTATCCGCATTCTCTTCCTGTCCCCTTTCTGTCTCTTTTTATCAAATCAAATGACTTCTCCTTTACACAACTACCTACTTGTCAGTTTCCGTTTTGCCCTAGCTAGAAGATGAAGAAGACCAAAAAAAACACTCACACATACATACATATACGATGAAGACTACGTACGTAACCATGGATACCCGATGCCGCGATAATTCCTTTTTTTTTGGTTCTCTTTTACTCTCTTTTTTTTCCAATTCATATCGTCCCTTGTTTTTAATGACGAGTCATGTTGTTTATGCGTGGATAAGTGGGGCCAGTATGTGTGTTTGTGTGGATGTCTATGGGTTTCGGCACGCCACATGTCCATGTGCATGTGCATGAATGAATAAATACCGGGATAGCTCATGAATCCGTGTGCTTAGTTTGCTTAACTAGTTTGATTGCTTGTTCGAGATTTATATATAACGTGTTTCACAAGCGAGCGCCGCGTACAAGCGAGCGCCGCACCCCACCAAACCTGCGCACCTCTATAAGCCTGTAGTTCCACCACAATATAGTTGTTTTACTATATATTAATATAATAGATTAAGCAGTACCTAGAGTATCTTTCTTGCACGTACGCGAGTTGTGGCCAGTTTCTCTACACCTACTACAGCGCGCCAAAGCCTGGCAGCTAACACCTAATCGCTCTCCTCCCTAACGCTCTTTATAAGCAATCTGCTAATTAGCCTTACGCTAAGCAAGTAGATTCTCTCTAGCTCCCTTTATTAGCACTCCATACTTCTATATCCACTTCCTTTTACACTACCTACGCTTTATTGCTACCTTGTTAGCCCTCTTAAGGCTAGCAATCTAATCGCGCATTAGCTTAGCTAAGAGCATTATTCTCTCTACCCCTGTAACGGCGCAGGTAAGGCAGGTCGGATCTGTTTCGGTCGTAGGATCACTCAGAGGCATATGGGAGTGCGTGGGATCACAAAGAGCCTAGATTCAACAAGCCACCTATAGGCCTTGTACGAAAGGATATCAAAAGTCTACAGAGCTAGCTACAGGGAGTGTCTCAATATATACCTATCCTAGTCGGGTCCGAATTCGGATCCGACCTCGGGCGAATGGCTGATGAAGGGCGGCAGGTACTTCCTCCGATCCGGCTCTGGGATTGGCTCAATACTTGGCGAAGTTGTAACATCGTTACAACCCCCTTCTTAAGCTAGCTAATCGCCGCAATAATTAACGCTAGTAATAAGCTCTTATGCCGCTGGACCTAATCACGTATTAGCGTTAATTAGGCTTTAAGCTCGCGTACATTGCTTAGGGTACAAGCCTGCTAGATAGCCTCTGCAAGAGCAGCTACTTGTTACAGGTAACAGGAAGGATCTCTCCTGGACGAAGGCCGCAGGTTGGAGACCATTGGGCGCCACGTCAAAAGGTAATGATCACCGCGGGGCGATGATCACGTGATTGGCATCACACCAAGACCGTGGCATCAGTGATGCCACCCCGGGCATGTGAGGACATGGCCTCACAGGACGGGCTGGGAGTCAGTGACTCCAGGAGTCTTGTCCGATGCTAGGACCAAAGGCAATGGATATAAGAATGGGTTGGATTTCATTATTACATTCGTTGTGGTCAACTCAAATTGTACTTTCTTACTAGTTACTTTAACTTAACAAGATCGTTACTAGTTATTCTATCCTAGATAGAATTGATTGTTACTTTTCTACTTCGTTAAGTCTGATAACTCTTTTCTAAACGGAATCACTCCTACAACAATCACGCAGCCTAACCACTCCTGACCACTCGCCCTAACCTGGACTGAGCTTAGGTAAGTATATAGTGCCACCCCGTGTAACACTTTGACCACCAGGAATTCCTTTGGACGGATTAGCCAGTAGAACGCCTGATTGAGATTCAAGATGTCTCACGTTCACTCCTAATCTCAGGCCAGCGCCGGTGGACTAGTCCAGGGTCCTGGACTAGTGCCTAACCTAGCAATCGACGACGAGATGCTGACCCCAAGTGACGACGAAGACGACGACGACGTAAGGAACTTAAGAGAATTGCGTAATCTTAGGCGACAGGCCACGATCTATGCCTAACAAATAAACGGCATGCAGGAAATGATCAATTAGCTTGTGGGACAGCTGATGGCTACCCTAAACGAGAAGAAATCCACGACCAAACCCAAAATAGCGTCACTAGAGAAGTACGACGGGAATCACAACGATTTGTGGACATTCCTCACTAGTGTCGACTTATATTGCGAATACCATGAGGTACCTAATAACCAGGAAAAGATCCTTGTAACTAGCACTTACATGAAAGGCAAAGCAGCTAGATGGATGTAGCCTTATGTTAAGGACCTCTTAAAGGATGCCACAAACAAAGGGACTAAGACTGAGACGCAAGACCTATTTGAGAATTAGGACAGCTTCAAGAGGGAGCTAGGCCGTATCTTTGGGGAAATTAACAAAAAGAAGCAGGCGGAAAGAGCTATCACGCACCTACGCCAGACCAAATTAGTATCCGCGTACACAGCCGAGTTCAAGCAACTCTAGGCTTAGATCGACTGGAACGACGCTTCGCTACGGACAGTATTTGAAGCAGGTCTGAAGGAAAATGTTAAAGACAGACTTATGCACCACAACGAACTAGAAACACTACATAATCTAATTAAATTAGCGACACAAATTAATCATAGGCTATAGGAAAGGAACGAGCAGAAACGAAAACAATTCCAGCCAACGGCGGCCAACACTAAGAAATCTAGGAACAATAAGGATAAAGACGGTAACACAATCATAACAGGTAAGGTTCAAGACAAGTCACGAAGCTAGAAAGCCCGAGGAAAAGTCTAGGACGGCCTTTCTAAGAAAGAACGCTAGAAGCGTTACGACAACAAAGCATGTCTCTAATGCAGTGAAGTAGGACACTTCCGCAGAGACTGCCTGAAGAATGAGGTAAAACAGGCTGTAGTCAAGATTGGAATGCTTCGACTACCTACGCCTTACCCCAGACTAGAGCTCCTATCTAATGACAATCTTAGCGACCTAGATTTGTATAATGAAGCTCGCAGAACAGTTGAAGAAGACTACGTAGTAGTTCCCCAGCTCGTTCCCACCAATGTATTTAAAGAAACACCCCAGGACACCGATTGGGTAGTCCAGGTGGCCGACGCACAGCAACGACTAGACCGAGGCGATTGTTGGGTGTGCGGAGATGCCACGCACCTGGCCGACGAGTGTACCCTTAGAGGAGGAAGAGTCGCGGTTGTCGGGTACAACGCGGAGGAACTAATACAACGGGCAGATCAGAAACAACTGTACTTCTTAGAAGGAGAACTAGATCCCTCAGATTAAGAAGAAAATAACGATTAGGAAGAGGACGAACATTAGTTGCTCCCATGGACCTAGTGCAGACGTACGCACTATTATTTATTCTATGTCCAACAGTATAAGGATACGCAACGCACCGAGAGTAGCCCGTATCACTACCTTATACATACGGCAGCATGTAAGGACGACGAATGCAGAAAGCACGGACAAGAGGTATCTAATGGACATCACCTCATCCTATAGATCGATTGTAAGAGAAAATGCTGCCCTTAACACTAAGGAGCAAGAGAAAACAGTAGGATCCACTACAAGGATCCCTTGCACGATCGGATCCCAGCACGACAGTATACCACTTACAACTGCCCAATTCATGAAAAGGGACAACAAGAGGAGCACGAGCAGTTGGTGTGGATCAATTGCATAGACAGGTGCTAGTTCCACTAAAACCAAAGACTCGCTGCTAGGAACGCAGAACACCCGCTCTACAACACGATCCCAACAAAAGAATGTAGGACGGCCAGATGCCAGATGCATCACACGCCGCCAGAGGGCGCGCGTAAGCCAGAAACGGTAGAGGAAATGGTTCCCCACACCAACCTACACTAGTCCTATTGCACGGATGATCATTGTATGACCCACCGTAGTTCAAAGGACGACCACGGATACTTTCCCCAAAAAGGCAAAGGCCTTGGGAAAAAGCAGTCAAAAAACTAGGATGCCACCAGGGACAGGGTCACGCTGGTAAAGGCAGTCCTAAAACGACCCTTAAGAGAGTACGGGAGGATCACGGGGGAAACATGAGTTTCCGGATCCCAGCGAACGTACTTACGCATAAAATAATGGCGACTATAGATAGCGGTGCCGGAAGAACAGTAATTTCTCACAAGGTAGTGGAGAAGTACAACATACCATATCGAGCTAAGGAACAGCCGATACGAATGGTATTAGCCGACAATAGTCCCGCGACGTACGGGAACGGCATGATAAGGCTTGAGACGGAATCAGTACCGCTGACGGTAGCTGGTATACGTAGCCCTAGGAACATCGACATTATGGATCTCGGAGAAGACGACATGTTGATTGGCCATGATTGGTTAAGACAGCACAACCCGATAATCGACTGGCAATAGAAGACTATACTCAGCCGAGAACCTGCGCGCAAGGTTGCTGGAGTAAGACATGAGACACGCCCGACAAATCAGAGCTCAACCCGAGAAGGGAGATTTGGCAAGATCTCACCGCATAAGATCGCGAGGATCTATGCGAAGGACCCTTAGAAGATAGGAGTCATATAGGTACGGCAGATCGCGACCACGAAGGAAGGATCTCCACCTAAGTTGGCGATACCAACAGAATACGATACGAACGAGTTCAGAGAACTGTTCGAGGAAACCGAAGCAACAGAATTGGCAGAACACCAAGAATGGGATCACGAGATCCACATTGAAGAAGGAGCCAAGCTTACACCAGGACCGATGTACCCTATAGCACCAGAACATGATGGTGAGCTAAGGAACTACCTGGTAAAAAACCTAAAGAAGGGGTTTATCCGAGAAAGCAGTAGCCCCATAGCTTCCCTGGTCTTATTCGTGAAGAAAAAGAATGGGAAATGGCGATGCTGCATTGATTTCAGACGACTGAACGATGTCACCAGGAAGAACCGATACCCC